CACACACACACACACACACACACACACACACACACACACACACACACTCTCTCTCTCAGTCTGAGCCTTGACATATTGATAAGTGAGCGGCAGCCAGTAACGGAAACCTCCCTGGTTGTCCATGTGTGTACCAGCTGTGGGAACCGGTGACCAAACGTCTCTGACACACACACACACACACACATCCTCTGACCCAGGGAAGCGGCTTTCCTCGGCTGTGATCGCAGCTGGATCTGCCACAGGTCAGAAATATTTGGAAGGGGAAAAAGACGGCAACCATTAAAAACCCCTTGATTCTCTGCAATGTCCAATCAGTAGATAAACTGCAGAATTAAATGCCTGCGTCTCTGTCCAGACTCCGCTCGTCTGTGATCCAGGTTGCATGTCTGTGCGTAAGCCCTATTTCTCATTTCTCTCTATTTTACTGCCATTATTCAGCAACCAACACCCCACAACTGACAGTGTGCTCAGACGAACAGGGGTAAGAAAATACACAATGCTGAGTGGTGAATGTTAAGAGAGGCCAATGTGGTGTTGATTACCTTGTCAGCAATGAGGTTGCTGAGTTTACACAGCCACTCAAAGACTGGAGAGAGAAAGAAGGGCGAAAGATAGAGGGAGAGAAGAGAGGGACAGTGGAGGAGATGAGTGTGGCCGTTAACTGCCTTTCCATACAAGGAGAGGTAGGGGGAGAAAAGAGGAGGGGGAGGAGAAAGCGAGAGGCAGTGAGAAAAAGAGAGGTAATATGAGGAGATACAATGAGAGAGAGAGAGAGAGAAGGGAGGAGGAGAGAAAGGAGATAAAGACAGAGGATAGAGGGATAAAGGCTGATAAGGCTGCACCAGACAGCAGCGTACGGTGGAGAGGAAGAGAAGAAGTGAGTGGAGCTGGATCCTCTCTTAGATCCAAACAGTGTGATTCTGCTGCAGCTTCTCTCTCTGTCAATGACTGACTGACCCAACACAGGTAGGACACACACACACACACACACACACACACACACACACACACACACACACGAAGACTCCATTCATTCTCCGCACGGGGAGTCTGAGAGCACACAAGTGTGAATGCTTGTTTAGACATAGAAGATCCCGCACGCGTGTGCCTTTATCTGCGGAAGATGACATCTTTATTTGAGTAAAAGCATGCAGTGTTGGATGAAATTATTCAGCTTCCTTATTTAAGTGACACCACATTGCAAAATGATTCCATCACCAATAGAAGTTATGCAATGCAGTATACAAGTTTAAAGCGTGTTATGTAACTATTGCCGGCAAAATATACACAACACATTAATGTGTATGCAGAGTGCAAACTTTCAGAGGGATTATTTATTATACTGTTAATAAAGTGAATTATGTTATGGTATTATTAGGACCGATGCTTTGACATGCAAGCAACATTGTGCAGCAGGAGACATATGAGTGGTTAACAGTGCATCAAATATATCCCGTTTTTGTCGTGTAGAATCTAATTCTGTAAAGTAACCAGTAATTAAAGCCGTCATTGTTGTCTGTAAAAAGTATAAATGTAAATTGGCATATATATATATATATATATATATATATATATATATATATATTGCCACTGAATTCACACTTCGTCTTTGTTGATTTTTGCATGTATTTGCACCTTTTGCATCGGCAGCTGCTTCACCTTTATAGGTGCAATCTCTCTACAATATACAGGTCTACCTGTCCCGTCCATCCTCCTGCACCGGGAAAAGTCCAGCTTCTGACCTCCTGTTGTGATGCATGCACAGCCAAGTGTGTCTATCCGTCTATGTATGCGTGAAGATGAACAGTATAGGCCCACAGGGGTGTGTTAAAGGCTCATTCAAAACAGAGTGATGCATTTCTTTTCTCAGCCTAGATCCACCACTTCCCCAACAAAAGATTTTTGAGGAAAATCTGAGGGAAAACAGCAAATTACCTCACCGCCTTGTTAAAAATGAACATACCTCCCGCTGTGTACACAAATCTGTGCTTGTGTGTGCATATACCTGCATGCCTGTGGATATGAGCTTAGACAAATGTGTGTATTATCTCTGCATGAGTCTGCTGTAATTACACAGTGAAGGTGCCCATGGGGAGGCAGCAGCCACATTTGACTCCGCGCCACATCCCCTAGTTTTATTGTGTCTTGTGCCTACAAAACTGCTGCGTGTGTCTGTCTATGTTGACTGATGAGAGCAGGTCTGTGTGGTGTGACTGCATACGTGTGTGTGTGTGTGTGTGTGTGTGTGTGTGTGTGTGTGTGTGTGTGAGAGAGAGTAAACTTTATGTCCACTGAAAAGAAGTCTGTGCCTCTGTATGCATCAATAAATGCCATACAATCTTTTATTATTGCTGTATGTGTTTCCAGGAGCGCCAGCAGACATCAGCTGGGAGCTGTGTGTGCTGATGAAGTTCAGTGTGTCAGTGTGGGAATTCAAGAAATGTCTCTTTAGTGTGTTATCGTGTCAGTGTGACAAGTTCAGAGGGATGGTCGAAGGGTCTACTGAACCAAACTCTGTGTAGATTAGGGTTATCTCATCAGTGGTTGTTCTGGCAACAGAATTCACATAGCTGCACTTATAGTATATCAGAAACCAATCATTTTGAGGAAGAAAGACCATGTTCAGCGTATGCTGTGAATTGACAGTTGAAAACACTCGTCCGTGTCTGGAATGTGTGTGTAAACAAGGTTAACTTTGCCACAGCCAGTAACAGGACTGACCTCATTTTCTATCCTAAAACATCGTGAACGGAGCAGACGGGACAGCAGCAGTTAAAGATCACACACTGATGTGGAAAGCCTCCAGCTCCATGAGGTGAACATCCATTAACCCAAGCACACAAAGCTGGAACAAAAAAAAAAAAGAAAGACCAGAAGAAAGAGAGTTACTTTTTTTGAACTAGTTGCATGATTAAGCATTTCAACATGGAGCTTTGTCCGCCTCCTGCAGAGCAGCAAAGTTGAAGCCAGTGAGATCAAAGCTGGGCTCTGTATGTCTCTATACTCCAGGTATTTTTACGACTGGCTGTTAAAACTGTGCAGTGGTTAATATACATTTAATGGAGACAGGGAATTGATAAAACACTCGGTGACATATAAGGCTGCAGTCAGAAAAGCGTCAGAGTTTTGCAGCTATATCGGCAGAGTAATATTATCTGTCCTCTGGAAATAGACTTCAGGGACAATGTGCAGCTGGACATGAGTGTTATGTGTGTACGTTGTGTGTGTGTGTGAGAGTGTGGGTGTGTGTTTGCGTGCACATGTGTGTTATTTTGTGCCCAAATTTAACTGTCTGCATTCTGCAGCTGCTTGGGGGTTTAGTTATAGTGTAGTAACCCATAGAAACGCCACACAAGGCCACAGCCGCGAAACAAAATTCTCCCTTTCTGTGACACACAAACACAGAGAGATGTATCTGTAGTCACAAACGCTCCTCTTGAAGTTAATACATTTGCCAAATGAAATAGGGAGATGGTGAAACACCCAAAGTATTTAGAAAGTGTACTCTCAGAACTGCAAATTTGAGAGACACTCACTCCCGTATATCACGTATTTATTCATGTGAATTTCTTTTTTTTTTTTATAGAAGAAATAAAACTGTGTCACCTCTTTGCCATTACTTCTGGTTGTTTCCATGTATATTTTACAGCTCACATTTTGAATGCAGCCTTAAAGACTCTGGAATAAATTACAACGAAGCATTTGTTGCAGCGCTTTCAAAGATTCCCACACACACAATAGAATCAACTCTGTTTTAGTTGTTGGAGAGCAGAGGAGGGGTGATAATATGGGTGTGGAGGGTGAAGAGGAGTGTGAGATAAAAGGATGTGTGTTCAGAGGTAAGGGGAGCGTGCAGAGAGGAGACAAGTAGCATGGCTACAATTTCATCTCCTGGAACAGTGTCATCTAGCAAAAACTCTTCAGCACTACCCAATGAAATGTAAGGCTGAAATGTGTTTTAAGCTATTACAATGCATGTGCCCTCCTCCCCTCTCTGCCTCTCTTAATAGGGTGAGATTATGACTCAGCCGCCGGCGGTCAGTGGATGGTCAGTCGGTGAGGTCAGTAGAGCAGCAGAGCGGACGTCTATCCTCAGAGATGTCATCCCTGGCCTAGAATAAAACAGCAGCGATGCTATGGCAGACATTACATTAACTATTTTGCCGTGTAGCCATAGGTTGGCGGTGGACCAACACACACTCGACCCAGCCCATAATAATGGGTTCAATCAGCTGTTTTCTTAGATAAAATGCTATGATATGAGGGCAGGGGCGTGGAATTTCCCCCATACTGATTTTCCACGATTGTCTGGGTTTGGTTTCCTAAATATTCACGTTAAGATCCTTTCATTTGGGTTACATGCCAAAGTGCTTCTGACGGCAGCTTTTGATTATAGAATATTCCATAATGTTTAATGCTATTAAAGAAAGCTCTTTCACAACCATTTTTCATTTCTCCATTTCTTTCAGATGATGTCATCAGAGCACCTGACCTGCAGTTGGCTGCAGCAGCTTCTCGTCGTACTTCTGAAGCTTTGTCTCACTTTTGCTGGGCCTTTGCGACCACTCAATGGGACAGACTGCACAGCCAAGGGTCCTGCTTCCTACATACTGGTCTTTACAGGTCACTGGAGCCCACAGGCATTCCCCAAGCAGTATCCACTGTTCCGGCCCCCTGCACAGTGGTCCAAGCTCATAGGTGAGAAAGACTGCCAGGGACAAAGAAGTCGGTTATTAAAAAAATCTGCTATTGCTTATGGAAAGTTTTACCTCTAACACCTGGTAATCCATTTCATTTTAACCTTTATTTCAGACTTGACCTCACTTAGTCAAAATGTACCCATGCAGTGTTTTTGTGTTGAAGAGGACACAAACCTGGGACAGAGATGGTGACCCCAGTGAGATGAAGGGACACTTAGCTTCAACTGAAGGCAGATGTTTGGCTACCCATCATGTGTCAGAGGTTTAGTTGCTCATTGTCAGCATCAACGTATGCACACAGACACATACACGGGGGTGAGTGCTGTTAATGGAGCAATAAGAGAGACAGTCTAAATGCTACCAGATGCATTTTTTTTCAACTTCTGTCCGGCCATATCTTTATATTTCTCTATTTATTCAACTCAACTCTACACTCCTTCCCACATTTCTGCTGGTTTACCACAGTGTTGGCGGTAAACAGCGGAGTAGTGGTTTTTGGGGGCTGGTGAAGGTGGGTGATGATAGTTGGGGTGTGGTGGGGTCAGACTGCTTACCTCAGAGCCAGGAGGAGGAAAAGAAGAAGCAACTCAGAACCCTCTATTCTGCTTTTTTATCCCCAAGCCATGGAGCATGGGCTGGCTGACAGATGTTTGTAGATTTGTGTGCTTGTATGTATGTATGTGTGTGTGTGTGTGTGTGTGCTGGACTGCTCTTGTGCATCGCTGTCTGCGGCAGCCGTGGCTTTGTCTGGTTTCCCGTTCTCCCAATGGTGCCCTGCTGCCCTGCCAGAGGATGATGTGCTACTTACTCCATATAGAGACAGGCACCGGAGATTCTGATCACCCGAAATGGCTTTTAATGTGTGTCCCCTTCCCTCAAGGCATGGGAACAAAATGGGAAGAAAAACACAGGGGCCTCAATGGGCTGACAGACTGTTGGTAAGGGAGTTTGTCACAGCACAAGAAAAAGCATAACCTGTCGAGGGGTTTGGGGGCCTGCAATGGTTGTGTGTTGCTTAACTGTGGGGACCTGGGGGCGAGGGTCCAATGACAGAGGGAATGGAGTTTGTCATGGCCAAAAACAAAAATAAACGCAAGCAATTTAGGAAGAACGGAAAGTGGGATTTAACTTTTTGGTGGGGCCTAAACGTGACGCGTTATCGAATTTCAAGGTCCTGATACTTGTGGGAAATTAGTTCGGATGGAAATGCAATTAAGTGCATAAGTAATAGCAGTTTGGGGAGAAACAAGATAGTGTGTGAAGTGTGCTGGGCAGGTTGTGTGTGTGGCTCAGTGCAATTTGTGTGTTAATACATGTGTCAAGAGCGTTTAAGTGTAACTGCATGGTTGTGTATGTGTGCCTGTACGCAGCTCTGAAAAGTGAGGTAGGGCAGAACCATCAGAGCATTTTGTCAGCGTGTTTCTGGCTAACCTTACTCTGCCCTTAAAACCACTGGCCCAGGCAAGTGGCTCTGTGGGTTTCAATATGGCGCACCAGAACCGGCGGTGCAAACAGTTTAACCTTACTCCGTCTATTGACTCTCAACAGGTTTCAAAGATAACCAGAGCTAAATATGACAATGTGTAGCAAATGGCTCTGTTGGCCAGAAGGTTATGAAAAAGTATCGATAAAGGTGAACTCAGAGATCCTGACCTATCTCTTGGCAGCTCCCGTCTGTGTTGTCGTTTTATCAGCGATAAAAGGAGAAAAGATGTAACTGTAACTGTGCAATAATATCAAAGACATGCATGCTGGCAATTCCTTCAGAATTGTCAGTTTAATTGCAGGATGTAGGAGGCAGCAGTAGAAATACATACAGGCTCCACCGTGGAAATGATCTCACTGTCTGGCTGAGGCTCTGTGGTACTTCATTGACATCGATATGCATTCCAGTGAATAAGCATCTTACTCCTGTCTTCTCCTCGTTCTCCCTTTAGCGGTCAGCCATAATCGCCATTTTCGGCTGTGGGAGGATGGTGCTCCGGCTAGTGCAGGGGTGCAGAGCTTTGCTGAGGTCGGGGTGACGGTGGAGCTGATGAAGGCGGCCAAGGAGGCCAGGAAGAGACGCGCGGTCGGCGCCATGCACCGAACGGCCGGCATCCCTAACGGCATCGGGCACAGCTCCACGGAGTTGCTCATGCAGCCCCGGGGCTCCCTGGTAGGCACAAATAAAACTTAAGTTGAAGCAGTACTCATTCACAAAAGCACACACATGCTCAGACACAGTAAGTCACACAAAGCGTCTGACTAAACCTACTCAGTCATCTGGTGACCTGGGCCTCCCCATGACGTCGTCCATCCGCTCTGACCAAACACACTTTTTTCCACTATCCAATCAGACTATGTTTAGCCAAAGGACTGAAGCCCTGCAGCCACAAACACCCACATCCATCCTTCGCGGTCCGCACTCTGTCTGCTGCCTGTCCCACTGAACTCTGTGAGCTCAGGCTGAGGGCCCTGGGATGACGTTTAGCAAAAGGAATAACTTGGCAATTTAGGGAACACTTCTCTTCACCTTTTTTTAACCCAGAGTTAGATGAAAAGATCGATATCACTGTCGCGTCTGTGCGGTACCTATAAAGCTATAGCTAGCTGTCGGTTAGCCGAGCTTAGCATTAAGACTGGAAATGGGAAAACAGCTAGTATGGCTCTGTACGACGACAACAGAATCTGCCAACCAACACCTCTAAAGATGACTAATTAACATGTTATATCTTGATTGTTGAATTAAAATGACATTATGCCGTGTTATTGTCTCTTGGCTGGGCACAGCCACTTTCTGGGAACGGCTGAAGTCTCACATTATCTCATATTTAAGGTTGAAAACATTGCTGATAAATGTGGACTGTTAAAGGCTAAATGTCCAACTATGGTACAAAGTTTATCCTTGCTGGACTACAGGGTCCCACTGCTGCGGAATAACGACTGAGTTTGGAGGCAAAGGTCATGGTCAGCCTCGCTAAATATGGTCCGAGGGCTTAAACAAAGGCCAAGGATTTGAGGTAGGCATGAGGTATGGCACTATGGAAAAAATGAACATGGGGTAGGAGATGAAAGGCAGACATTCACTGGAGTTTTTAGAAATAAAAGTCTGGTGACCTACATTTGTTTATTGGTTATTCCACTGCTTGAACCCGGGGGCCCTTAAAAATCATAAACAACCCAGTCGGAGGGCATCTTTGGTAAGTACTTGTCATGCACAGCAGCTTTTCATCTTGGTACTTGATGTCTGTGGCTGCTTTTAAATGGGTCCTTCTGTTTTTAGATCAGTGGACAGAGTACAAAAATAAGCAGGTTATGAGTATTGTGTGTGTGTGTTTTGAACGTGACAATGACGAATTATGCAATGACGAAACAGCTTCATCTGCTATTCTGCTTTTCTGTCTCTCTCTCTCTCTCTCTCTCTCTCTCTCTCTCTCTCGCGCACTCTTATATAAATCCCATGCTTTTTGTCTTCCCACAAACCAAAACATTCATACGCAATGCCCCAAAAATCCCAAACACATATGATTCCTATCTCCATATTCATGAGCCCTCTGCCATTTCTGTTAAATGTGTAATTCAAAACAGACAGATCCTGAGAAATAAGTACCATTCAGCTTCCAACTGCCATTACTCTTAAAGTATCTGTATCAGTGGCACCACAGAAAATGGGACAACAGCTGAGCGTTAAAGTGCTAGCGCTACTGGACTGAGTTGCATGTTTTTAAGGCCTCTCCGCGGCTCTACAGAAGATTAGCTGTGATGAAGAAAAAGTGAGAGGGATCATGGGAGCTTTGAGTATCTGTCTTTGCTCTAGAGATACTTCCGGGCCTGTATATTGGAACCAACATGGACTGATCAAGCCACTGACGTGGGATACCCCTGAGTAGACATCCTTGCTGAGTGGCCCAATGGATATAGCAGGATGGGACTTCTTGGAAAAACCGCTGTTTGAAAGGAGCCTGAAAGGACAAAAGGAGGGAGGGATGTCAGCAGAGGGGGGAAGAAAGGAAGGAAGGAAGGAAGGAGGGGATCAGTGGATGATTCTAAAAAGCAACAGAGCTGCTTCTGATTTGGTTTCTTCTGCCGTGCGTCACGAGCAAGAAACAGACTCCATGTGTCATGCTGACACTACCTGCCTGTCTCCTGTCCCGAGTGGTCTTTTGCGCCTGGTGAACTGGTTTGAAGTTTGTTCCAGCACTCTTCTATCCAGCGCTCTCCGTTTGACTCCAGGCCACCCTTTCCAAGCTTTCCAAGCCCACCCATCCTACCCAGAGCCGCAAGTGAGGAGGCGTTTTTTTAAAATGCGCTGTTTTCTGGGATTCTGCCACCTCAGCGTGTGCTGACCCCCAGGCCACTTCCTGCATGAGGTCACTAGCTCTCAGGAAACATCCATCACAGAGGAGAGACAGTCTAACCCTGCACAGGAAACTGAGTGGGTGCATGTATGCGCAGTACACACACACACACACACACACACAGTCTCCAGTGCCTGCATTTATAAGTTGCGCATTTCATAAATCCTGACATCATCAGTGTGTGTGTGTGTGTGTGTGTGTATTTTATAGCTTATTTCCTTTCCTTCAACTTAATAGATTTTACAAACAACATATGTCAACAGACAGGGGCAGCACAACACATTATACGGCGGTGAGGTAATCAAATTAAAGTAACACCAGTTGATTGCTGTTTTTTTACGATTTGGATTTTCCCCTTACTTATCTACTTACCCAGAGGGCTGCAGTTAGACTTTTGAATGGAGCCAGAATATTAATCACAGCTGTGCTTTGATTGTTTGTTTTTCTTCTTGTGATTTAAGTATATCACAGCATTTCCTTTGTAGTTTCAATTGCAGTTACAATTTGACAAAGCAAATAAAGACAAGAAAACCAAATCAGCTCATCAGTGCAAAAACAATATTTACATAGAGGCACATATGAAACAATCTTGGAGAAAATATATGAATATATTCATCAGAGTTTATTGCTCCTGGGTGTAAAATTAAAGAAAAAGAAAGAAAGAAAGTAAGAAGAGACCATCTTGTGATGGGATTACAGCAGCCGCGAAGCCAAATTGGGCGAAGGCCGTTAAGTGGAGGGGCCAATGGCCCCCTCCCTACTTCCTGTCCCCTGCTTCTGGCGCCCTCACTTGGATCACGCCCATCTTTGAACTCAACCTTCACTTTGATCCCAACTCCACACCTGTAAAATGTTCTGACTGCATTTGCACTGTTTTGACGCTATCGTGGCTACAAAATCTGTCCACAGAGAGACAGAAATGTAAACACCTGGCAAAGTACTCAAAACTTCTTCTGTGGCAGTTCCTACTACTGTAGGTGTCTCCAGGACCTCCATTTGCCATGATGATACACACACAGACTCACAAGATGAAAACAATACCAGCTGGTATCCAGAATAACTGCAATGAGCAGCTCTGTGAGGCTTTACTTTAGCAGTGGTGCTTTGAGCTAAATGTATGAGTCATCCATTGATTCATTTTAAACAAGAGTACATAATCTGTGTATTTCTTTCATCTAATTCTGCTTCTTTATTGCTCTGTTGTCTGCGTTCACTGGAAACTAAATGTTCCTCTTGGACAGTAAAGCTTGATCTAACTGCCTTCTCTCTCTCTCTGACCGACAGCTGTCCCTGATGGTGAAGATCATCCCCAGCCCCGACTGGTTTGTTGGTGTGGACAGCATAAACCTCTGCGAGGGCAGCCAGTGGAAACAGGAAGTGAACATTGACCTCCATCCTTACGATGCAGGGACAGACAGTGGATTCACGTTCTCCTCTCCTAACTTCCCCACAAGCCCCCAAGAAAACATCACAAAGGTGAACAAAAACCATCATCGGTTGATACATTGACTCAATTTAGTCCTCCGCTCCATGGTGAGGCAAGGTCCTCGTCTTGTACTTAAGCAGTGTGTGTTAGCAGTGTGGGAATGGGTCGTCATTCTTAGCCTTCTGCACAAATGATTACTTGGCGGCCTTCATGCCTGACCTGAAGTGATTTGAGTAAAAAGGGCCTCTCTTACATAATGGAGCAGCTATCCTTTGCCAGCATGTGCTTAAAGTGGGCTATTGTGTATTTTAACTTTTGCTGAGAACCTGCCGGCTCTCCTGCAGAAATTTGACCGACTGTTCTGCGCTGACTTATCCAGATCACATCCGAGATGCCGAACCATCCAGCCAACTCCTTCTACTATCCACGTTTAAAGGAGCTTCCACCTATTGCCAGCATAAGGATCTCTCAACAGAGCAGATCATCTGGCCGTCAAGTCCTTATGTCCAATCATATCCTGCCAAACTCGATCAATCCCCAGCGCTTCACGGGTAAGTCCACTAGACTCCCTACATCCCTGGGACGTAAACTTTCCCCCTGGAAGTTAATGATGATGGTTTTAAATGAATGGGTGGACACAGACAAAAAGCAAACAAAAATGCTATTTCATTGATTTGTATTACATGAAAGTTATAATGTGATCTCACTTAAACAGTTCTGCACAGCTTACACATACAAGCTAATAAATGAACAGCTCTTATTTCTGCAGAGATTTGTACTTCTTAACTCTTTGCCGTTCTCTCTTTACTCACACGTTCTGTACTTTTCTCACAAACTCTTTTCTCTCGACTCAGCGACACCATTGGACTGTGAGGTGTCTTTCTGGTCCTCCTGGGGTTTGTGTCTTGGTCCCTGTTCCAGAGGTGGTGTCCGCCACCGCACACGTTACATCCTCTTGCGGCCGGCCAATGCTGGCGTCCCCTGCCCTGAGCTGGAGGAACAGTCTGAATGCGTACCGCACAGCTGTATGAGACTCCAGTGAACCCACAGGGTGCACAAGCACAGATACTGCCAGTATTCAACACTGGGACTCACTGCTGGACTGAGAAATGTTGCTGCATCTTGAGCATCTCCTTGATAATGTAAAGGATTTTTGTGTTTGTCACGGTCAAATTGTGGGAATGAAAAACCCGCTGCCTTCCCTGTGCAGCCAGTTAGCATTGGAGTGTACACTCCTCTGGATGTATTGTAATGACAACAGAGGGATATGGAAGTCTGAGTGTAGCAGAACGTTGGGCAGTTAATTAATGCTTGAGATAACACTTTGAATGTGTTCAGATAAAGTGTGATTTTTATTGATTGTCCTGGACGTAGAATAGAAAAATTGAGGGGAAGATGAATGAGAAATGTGTCCCCTCAAAGACCAGTTTGAGACTTCCCATGCATTCAATCTGTACACTGATATATAGTGCATACTTTTACAGGCACAGAGGGATTCGTTTAAATAGGGAACCTATACATGCTTGGCACATACAACTCTTTCAAAATAACCTCGCGCCCCGATTTATAAATATCACCTTTCATGAGAAACACCTAATACCAGACTGGAGGCTTTGACCTGGCCCAAAGAAGCTGGCCTATTTTATAATGAGATGCTCTTTTAGAAAGGTTTTTATAAAAAGAAAATATTTGTATTGTTATTATCTCTTTTGATATTTTGATGTGTAGATTTTGTATATACTGTATGATGTATCTTATCTTGTATAACTCGTGAATAAATAAGGAGGTGTGTTTTTCAAATAGAAAGCCTCTGCGTTACTTTGTTCCCCTGCAGGACTTTTCAATTGAAAATGTTATTATGTAAAGGCTTCATTTAAAACTCTTGTGAGACAAAAGAAGATTCTTCATTTGCGCGGTTCCAGTAATACATTGTGAAGAAAATTTATTTTTGTATGCCAGAGCATATAAGTTGACCAGTATTGACACTTCTTTATTCGTGTCCAAAGAACGCACAGCCTAAATGTTAAAATACACATCCATAAATATCACAGTGTGAAAAGGTTACGATGCCTCGTATTCACCAAAATAGAAGTCATGGTTCTACGTATTTATAGGTTAAAATTACATTTATTCCACAATATCACTTAAATGTTGATGAGTCGGTGCTTCGTGGTCCTGGTGCTACTTTCTTTGTGGTAGCCTATTTAGATGATTCATAAATGAATGAATGTTCTTCTGATAGGGATGATAATAATTCACTCTGGCAGAACATCCCTTACTGACCAGATTCACCGCCGCACTTCACTGAAGAGTTTGTGGCGGTGTAGCGCCTCCTACTGGTCACAATTAACAACAACAATACTACTACCACTGCTGTGCTACTACAACTTATAATAATGAATAGAGTGTCTCCTCTGGTCAGGAGGTCAATATGTGTAACTCCTCACTCACAGAACTCAAAATTCACTCAAAAGATCACTTTTTACCATGATGGAAACACTAAGAGTGAAGAGTGTTCGGTAAGATTTGTTCTACTTCATTTTATTGGGTTGGATTTTTTGTTTATTGGTCGTGTTTTATATAATTGCGTAATGTGTATTTTTTATTCCGTGTAAAGATTTCTTTAACATATAGTGTAGTTAGTTATGTCTGTAAAAAAAAAAGGTCATATTTTTGTAACGAGTACATGTCAATATTGGTATAGGCCTAAAAATCCTGAATGCTACTGGCTATTAGAAATAAGACATGATTTCATTGAAGTGATTTAACTTTGTATTAGTAGTAGTAGTTCACCCTCGCTGAACATGTTATATTTGGATTCTTTACCCACGACAGAAAATTTGAGGAAAGGGAATATTTATTTAATTTAATTTTATTATACTATATTGATCCCGTTAAGGGGGAAATTTGTCTCTGCATTTGACCCATCCCTGTATATAGGGAGCCGTTAGGGGTTCAGTGTCTTGCTCAGGGACACTTCAACACGTGACTTCTACACATTACACTAAGTGTAAGTTTACAAGCCAAAGACCTTTTTGTGTTTTTTTACAAAGAGTTTGAATTGTATTTAAAAACTATTAAATACTGTAACAACATCAAGGCCATAAGAACAGTTTTGGCATGCATTGCCTGTGATATATGTATGTAACTACACAATCAGCGTTTGTGATTTAGCGTCTCCTTTTTCTCTTTATATTATTTATTTACGTTTTTCTATTTTTATGCTTTTATTTCTGTCTATATTTTTATCCTCTGCGGTTGCCCCCCTGGCATGTTAGTTTGAATGTTTGTATTTTCCTGTTTCGTAGTCCACTCACGCTTTAACACTGCGGGACATCTTGAAACTAACCTACAATGCACAAACAAAGTAACCACTAACGTGATTCACAGGCCTGCCACCAGAGGTCGCTGTTTCCCCACTCACCGACTCTGTCTCCGCAGTGCTGCCAGTCTACGAGGAGTGCGTTTGATTGTTGCAGGGCTCAATGGCGGACAGAGCAGGATAGTCGCGTTAGCACCGAGGACAATAACATCTCGACAGAGTGAATACCTGGCGTGACCCGGTCCGCTGCTGGGTGCAACGTGTGTAACGGGCTCTCTCGTGCACTAACGTTTAGTACAAAGTCGCCGCAGCTGTTTTCCGCTCGTCTTCTAGCGTTCTTGAGTTCCCATCCCAAGCGGAGAAGTTACACTGTTCATGGTGGCTGAGTAGCTTGCGAGCAAACCATGGAGGTCTCATTAGAACTGATAGGAAAGCGTCTGCTTTTGCTCCTCGACGACGGCAGGTCTGCGAATGGATCCGAGCCGGAGCAGGCTGCATGGCTCCGGGGAACGGTGCGGGCAGTGAGTGTCATCGGCCTGCAAGTCCCGGAGGTTAGCGGAGCAGAGGCGACAACAACAACCACCGCTGCTGCAGGGCTGACGGTCAGTGTTTACATACGAGAGGAGCCTTTCTGGGTGGATAAACACATACCAATGGATACATAGCTCGTATACCTCCTCTTAACTGGGCCTTTAACACAATTAAAATCATGTTTAACCGTCAACGGTGGTACATTTGTTGGCAGTTAACGTACGCTCATGCATAGATTAGCAAGCTAACGTCACAAGTTGCAGGCAGTGAGGCGAAGCTAAACTCGAGGCCGGGGATTTTCTGGCCTTTGCTTTGTTCGCTTTTTTTTTTAGTTCGTTAACGAATGACATTAAGCTCTGCCAGTATTAAGTGTAGCCTCGTAGCATTACGTTTTAAAGCAACAGATAACCACACGAAAATATATTGACACAAGCCTTTGGTTTTTCCCATCGTTAGCTGATGTTAGTTTAGTTAAAGGCCTAACAAGTTCATGTGAGGGTGAACAAGGAATCCCTTCGACTTTACTGTGGGGGTCCAGGTTATTAAATGTTCAGTGTAACGCACCTTTGTGTCATCTAATGGAATCTTAAATATATTAAATCAATCTTCACGAGCTGCTTAGGTAACATTTAGCAGAGTTGATAAACTGCAGAGAGACATTTGGGTGAGATTTGTAAAGATTTGGGGTGTTGGTGGGTGACTTCATAGATAAAATGGACTCTTTTACAACAGAATATTACAATAGCAAGCAATGGCAAAGTAACTTTACTAATAATGTTTGATTCATTTAATATTAACACTTTAAGAGATTTAAGGGATAAAATGTACATATAATAACATTTTTTCAAAACCTAGTTTTATTGCATGACAACTGGAATGTGTAGGAAAAAACATACAAAATCAGTAAATGCTAACATTTTTAAAGATGTTTTGTTGGGAGACTCGATTCAGTGGTCTGTGAAGAAGATATCAGTGCACATTCTCTTGGCAGGAAGCTTTTAACAAGCTTTAACACGACCCGGCTCAGTGTAGGGCTGTGCAATATGGACCACAATTCATACCTCAGTACTTTTAGGCTGAATGGCAACACAAACTACCTGTGTATCCTCTACAAAGTGGGCGTCAGTTGTAAGTCAGTGATTCAAATCAAATGCAAATACAAGTTTTCCTCCCTGTTTGAAAATATACAGCTGCAAAACATTTAAAGAAGATAAATACAAATACAAAACCGATATTGAATATTAATAGAGTATGGTTATAGGTTTTCCTCTCCTGCTTAACAAAACACACAGCTGGGCAAATCACAATTAAAATGTAAAGGGAGCAAAAACAACAGCAGGCCCACCCTGTTTCAAAATGTACAATTTACACAGAAAAAACATGCGATATTTTGGAGCTCCTCCCTGGCCGCTTGTCATCACTACTCGCCCGGGTTGTTGGAAAAGCCGGGGGGGGCACCACTGTCGCGCTTAGTCATTTTGAAAGTGCAACAGGCAATGGTATAACCTTTATCACTCAAGTTGACCAGTGGTGCAACTTCATCACTCAGCAACTTCATCACTCAGTCAGTCAGTTACTCAGTGACAGCACACTTTTTGTTGAACGGTTATTTCAGGTGACAGAACAGAGGCAGGCTGGTAATGGGGCAGAGAGAGGCGAGTGACATTCAACGAAGGTCCCAAAGCTGGAATCAAACCCGAAACATTTCAATTAATGTGGCACCACTGCGCTCACCACTAAGCTCACAAGGGGCTCCAGCAGGAGTTTTTCTCACACATGCCACTGCAAATTATCAATACAAAATGTCAATACCAGAGCCTTGTATGAAAACAAACTTTTTGCTTTTTACTCTTTGTTGAATATTGACCCTGGAAGCTCAAAATGTAAATGTCCATTTATTGGTTAACGTTTACTCCTCCTTTCCTATTCCATCTCTAACAAAATGGAAATCTCCGATCACCAACTACTTCCAGTGATCAGCCAGAGGCATTCATCGATGGCCTGTGTGATTTGTTAGGACCAGGGATCAGTCATTAGTCGTGTCTCGCTACCGATGCTCACAACAAGTGTTGAGATAATTATCATTATCTTGTTCACACAAGTACCTGCAAGCTCAGCAGCTGGGTTGATTTTATCTGTGCGAACCTTCTTCTTCTTCTTCTTCTTCTACCAAAACAAGTGGGTAGTTGGCGAGTCCATTGCATAGACTGTGTCAATCAATACCGTTCCCCCCCGGACTGATAAAAGCCCAGTCTGTCTCTCGCAGCTTGCTCTGTTAAATAAAGCAGCTGTTGTCAATAGCTTAGATATTTCTGTGGTGTTTTTATTTCACTCAAGGAGCCCACGAAATAATCCACCTCTGCTGTGGACTTATAGGAGGTGTCATGATGTCTTCAGTGAGTGTGATGAAAGTCAATAGTACAAATCTCACACACATTTCATGAGAATAAGTTTACTTTGTGACTTTTTGTAGTCGTTCATTTAGATTTTAGAGGTGTCATTGTTCAGTTTGGTTATCCATTGTGAATCAATGCGTACCAGTTTTACTCTGATAATTTGACATAAAAAGAGGGGGGCATGTCTAAAATATCTCGCATGAAGACTGAACTTTTGTTAAAGGAACTTGAGGAGTAAAACCCTGAAGTTGGGATAGACAGAATACAGTAGTGTGTTAAAACAGTGCAGGGGTCTGTGTTTGTGACGATGAGATATGGAATACAATCCAGGAAGTGAAGCTTGAGGAACAGATTACGGGGCTAAGATGTATCGGATGCCACAACGCTGCTCAGAGGCTTGTAATGATCACAGACAGAATGGCCAATGGGATTATGCACTACAGAAGGTGAACCAGATTCAACTTTTTTGCCCGACAACCCTGCATTGTTTTGCCTCTGCTGGCACCCCAGCTGCGCCGATGAACTGGCTCCATTCAAATGAATGAGAGGGCAGTGTTTCTCTCACTGTCGTGTGAACGCGTCCTAAACTCACAACTGCTCTACGGGGCTTCTCGGTGGCACGCACTGCCAATGCGTTTGTGGTTGTTCTTTGCATATCGCAGGCGTCAGGCATCAGCTAAAGTGGACTAATGGTCTGTGTTTGATAGCATCACCTGAATGTTGTCCCCTTTTAAAGGCTGTCTTCCATTTTAAGCCAATTAATCATCAACTTTTTCCTTTAAACCAAAGTAGCTAGATAGCTGATGATTGACAGGCCCCTCTGACTTGCATTAAATGTGCACAAGACAAATATCATCATTGTACCAGTGACATACAAACCTGCTGTAGATGTAGCCAGATTCTGTCATACAAACCAAATGGCATAAAGAACGCGGACTCTTTTAAAGTCAGTATATTAGTATGAGACTGTGTTATCGCGGCTCTAAATGATCTCTTAACGGGGTTGCTGGTACACACGGGCATTGAGTTGCTAGTTGACAAAATTTGGTGAAAGTCTCCAATGAGCTCTTGGCCGCTGAATGACGCTGTTTGGCAGATGGTAGCTTGCCAGTCCGCTTGCAGTAATTCTGTTTTTGTTATGTTACCTGCACATATTTCCACTGTTTTCATTGTATGCTGCATTTGAAATGAATTTGATTTGCCATAGTTGCAGTTCATACAGTCCTTTTGTTTATGTTCTGCTTCTTTCTGTTTCTCCAACTGCAGGTATTTGTGGAGTTTGAGAACGCTCTGCAGCGCTGCTCCTGGGTGCAGGTGTTTGATAAGGGGGTGAAAGCCGTGCTGGTGGAAGACTCTATTGTTTGGGCCAGTCGAAGTGACGGGAGTACCGGGACTGCCGGAGCTCCGGCATCGTCCACAGCCTGGCCCGCTCTGGTGAGTCGAGCCTTGAAGCGATCGGAATACGCTTCAGGACACGGACAACCAAATAGACTCAATAGATTTGTGCACCTCTGGCACAGGTTAGATATATAGTGTGTGCATGTCATGGGAGACGACACATGTAATCTGATATCTTACCTAAACCCTGATACAGGCTACCGACGCCTTTCACTGCCCAGGCCCACCCTCCCCACTCAGGCTTTTCTTACATCCAGAGTCTCACTCCGGTTCAGCCTCCAGCTTGAGTGGTTGTCTCTGACTTGTTAGGGCCCGATGCAGATGGACGTTTGGCTGTGCTTGTGCTGTAGTTCATGTCTTAAGTCAGTTCATGTGGGTATTACGACTGGAGACACAGGAAGCAGATATGACGCACTGTAACATGACTTAAAGAGTTCAAGGCATGAAGCGCTTCGGTGTAAACGTAGCCGATATGTTTTGAATTACATTTAGAAAATCCAGACATCTGCATTATTGTGAGATGTAAGAACGTACGGTTACTGTTGAATTTAACGCAAATATCAAGTATTTTCCTCCAGTGTGAAATCATCTCATGTTGTTCACTCTTTCCTCAGGCCTACCGCTCCTTGGTGGACAGAGCGGGTTTAGGATCGTTGGTTCCTGTGGAGTATTTTGGAAACAAGAATTTTGAGTTCCTACCTGATAACAAAACTGTCCAGAGGTTTGAGGTATGTGCTTTTGTAATACAGTTTGTTGACAAATAAAACAATTTTATAATGGCATTGTTATTTAGGATATTTATCAAAAAACATCTCTGGTTCAGCATCTCAGATTCCCAGGTTTCATATTATTAAAAATGGAATACATCTGTTTTTTTATTTTAATTATCAGACAGAATAAACAATTTATTGGACAGGACATTTATTACTTTTGCCATTTTTAAAAATAAATTGTATACCAAAAATAAATTGTATACCAAAAATGCAGCATCCACTGTTCGTTGCAGCGCTGGTGTTTTTCCTGTAATATTCTGGTGTGAAGTTTCACATTGTTGCTGTGCCACTATCATATCTCAGCGTGGTTGGTGTCCTTATGCAGGTTGATAAAGACATAAGACACCCTTTGCTGCTGGAGCAGCCCTCAGTGCAGGCGGCCATCTCCAGCTGGCGGACTGACTTTGAGCTGCAGGAGATCTTCAGGAAGGGTAAGAGTCGACCTTCACCACGTCTGATGTTGTTTTCATTTACTACCTCCATGTGCTGTCGTGCCTTTACAATGTTTCACATATTCTTTTCACATTTCTTTCTGGACTTAATGTTCAAATGCTTAAACTTGGCATTTGTCATCAAATGTTATTAGAAGATGATGTTGTGCACTGAAAGCATGATACAGATGGACCAACAGTGACTGTAAGTCTAATGCTGCGGTAGCAACTTGCTAGATTGAGAGACTTTAATGCTTTTATATTTTTCTGTCTGTGTTATTGTTGACTTGTTATGTGAGGTGTTTTATTTAAATCGGCCAGAATGTAACTCTGCTACTGTTCCCCCTGTTCCTGCCCTCAGGTTCATACACTATTCAAGGACGCAGGGTTCGCGTGTACCAGCCAGAGTTTGAGGAATGCTGGGCTTCAGGGCTGGTCTCACAGCACGACCCCATCTCACACATCATGGAGATTACTATAGATAAGGTAAAAAAAAAATCTTATGTTACAAGTCGAATTGGGATGCAAATTGTATCGGATACTTGGGAATCTAAATACCAAAACAATTAGAAACTCTTTATGACATAGTGAGATTTAGATGGAACGTCAGTCCCATGTCACTTTCAGACCGGATAGGTTTGATTAAAATTACTGTATTGGCTCACTTCCTGCTTGTATTTCAACCACTTCCTATACCCATTAGCTACCATATAGTCCCCCAGTTATGGTGTGAAAGGATGCCGCTCAAATACCACCTTTTTTTTTGCTGTAGGGCGAGAATCAGACGGTAGACCCTCGCGTGATACATGTCATGCTGGCAGAGGAGGTAAGGCTGTCATGTTATCTATCTGTACTCTATAAGTGGTTGCACTGAATTGTACATTTTACATTGTATTACTGCGTCGTATATTTTGTTGAAGCCGTTGGAAGTATTTTCAGCTTTAGACGGACCTCTTTTGTTTAAAAATATGTGTTAACAGAATTACTTCTTGCCCTACCCTTTTAGCTTGGTAAGAATGGGCGGCGAAGGAAGGACAGTGAAACAATGAAGGGTGACAGTGGACGCAGACGTAGGACTGCCTCCGAAGGCGACGATGACTTGAACTTGAAACGTTTCAAAGGAGCAGGAGATGCGGCAGCCGATGGGCAGAACTGTGGCGAATCCAACAAAATGCCAGCGGAAGGGATGGGGATCTGGGGAGGAGACTCTGCAGAAAGAGTCAGCAGCACAACCAAAAACGGAAGCTCCTCAGAAGGAACCTTTGCTCAGGGCAGAGTGTCGTCCCCAAACACCAACTCCTCACTCCAGATGGACCAATCCAGCGCTACTCCTCGTCATCCTGCCCATGTCAAAGAAAATGGGCGTTCTCTCTCCACACAAGGAGCAGCAGATTCCACCACTGCGGTTACTCACACCCCCACCCCTCCCCCCCTCAAACCAGCCCCCTCTCCCTTCTCCACCACATCGTTCCCCTCACTCGGCCAGATGCCGAGCCTGGTCCCTGGCGCTCCGGCCCCCAAGGCCTCCCCATCCCCCCAGCCAGACCGAGAGGAGGCCTCCCAATCAGCCTATTCCAAAACAGCTGCTCTCGTTTCCCCGGGGCCCGTCACCATTTCTTGGTCGCATGACAGCGGCCCGAGTGTGGCCCTTTCTGCGTCTGTGGGTTTCAGTCCCAAAGCCCCCGCCTGGGGAAGCCAGACTGAGGTAAGACGATCCGTATGATCAGTACCATTATATGTTGCCTTTGTAAGTCGTCACAGTGTTGTTTCTGTTATTAATATCATGTTACTGTACCACATTGTTTTGTTTCCCAGGCCTCCAAAACGGCATCAGGCTTTTGTTTGCCCACTGCTTCTGTATTTGGAGATGTTACCTCTCAGACGAACGGTGCTCCGACCACTACGACTGCCTCCCAGGACGCTCCCCGGCCCTTTGGCTTCGGCTTCGGGGGAGCGAAGAACGAGACTCAATCCCAACAAGACCAAAACTTGTTTTTCCAGTGCATGACCCAGAATTCTGGATCCAGCCCAAGCCTAGCTGCTGGTCCAACCCAGTCCAAGGACACCAATTACTTCACCGCAGTGTCTGACAGCTTGAGTAAAGAGCCCCCGAGCCTTTTCAAGTCCGCAACCTCCACCGAAGGGCTGAAAAAGCCTGAGCAGCCCAAAGTGCCTGAGACCCATTCATCTGGAAATGGTGTGCTCAACAAATCCTCATTGGCCTTCCAGGGCATGGGTGGCTCTGCAGGAGGAAGGGGTTCTGGTCTAAGTATTGGTGGTCTGACTGGGGCTGCTGGAGCTCCTCTAAGTACTTCTAAGAAGAGCAGTAATAATGGGACTTCTGTGGGGGGCTTAGTGCTGCAATCTGGTTTTAATACCTCAGATAGCCACCAGAACCTTTTCCTGCAGGCCTCCAAAGAGCCTGCTAATCCATTTCTGGCATATGGGGACAAAACCTCCCACACCTCCTTTGCTGGCCTCACTGGGGCTGAGCCACAGACCCTTGGTCCTGCCTCAGACAGCAAGCCAAACCTTTTCACCATGGCAGAGCCACCGAAGGGGATTCTGTCTTCCTCTTTCCCAGTGCTCCCAGCTGCTGCTTCACCCAGCTCTTCCTCCTCTCCAGCACCGACCTCATCACAGAGGCCACAGAGTGAAGGGACTGTGACAAAGGAGGAGCTGGAGGCTGGGGAGATGCCTACATCCACCTCAGGCTGCCCCGTGTTTGGAAGCACTGGCCCCGGGGGAATGGAGGAGGTCCCCGTGTCCTTTGACCAGAGCCAGTCTCAGAAGTTTAGCCTGGAGGAAAGAGGCCAATCGTCAAAGCGTGACTCTGACTCCAGCAGCAACAGCGACCTGTCAGACCTGAGTGAGAATGAAGAGGGCCCCGAGAAAGGCCAGATCCCAGGAGGACCACTTCACCCTGCCACGGACGTGGCAATGTTGCAGAAAACTAAAATCCAAGGGGCTGCTAAAAGCCGTCCACGTAACAAGCCTTTCAAAGGTAAGTCTTGTCCCCTCTTTCTCGTTTGTGGCGACAAGTTGAGCGATATAATTAACACTAATTTGTCTGCTCCAGTGGGCCAGTCGGTACTAAAAGACCAGAGCAAAGTGCGTCGTCTGAAGCAGTCTGGTGAGTCCTTTCTCCAGGATGGCTCCTGCATCAATGTGGCCCCTCACTTGCACAAGTGCCGCGAGTGCCGCCTGGAGCGCTACCGTAAATATCGTACCACAGGCGAAGATAGTGATGACGATCACGACCCAAATGTGTCCTGTCGGTTCTTCCACTTCAGAAGGTACACGTGCTGCTCAATGTCTTGCTCTGTGTGTTTGAGCTTCATAGAGGAAGTCCTAGAGAGCTATCAGAACAGAGCCATCATCAATCAAGCAATGATGCGTTACTGAATTAACCTTTTTGTTTTACCCATGACCAGGTTGGCTTTCACTCGTAAAGCGGTACTGCGTGTGGAGGGCTTCCTGAGTCCTCAGCAGAGCGACTCCATGGCCATGGGTCTGTGGCTACCTGCACCAGCGGTCCTAGAGGGCCTGGACCTCGATACTTCCAAGTACATCCTGGCCAATGTGGGGGACCAGTTCTGTCAGTTGGTCATGTCTGAAAAGGAGGCCATGATGATGGTGGAACCTCACCGTGAGTACAAAGACATGATTTTGTTCACTATCTTGTCCTACATTTGTGCTCATCACTCACCCTGTCAAAAGTGTCTGCTGTTTGTATAATCCTGTGTTGTTTTTTCTTTGGTCTGTCCTCCAGAGAAAGTGGCGTGGAAACGTGCCGTGCGAGGCGTCAGAGAAATGTGTGATGTGTGTGAGACCACCCTGTTCAACATTCACTGGGTGTGTCGCAAGTGTGGCTTTGGAGTGTGTCTGGACTGCTATCGGCTCCGCAGGAACCGGGCACGGGAGGGTGAGTCCAGTTGTTACCAGTTCACTACAGTGTTAACCCAACTTGTTTATTTCATTACATATTTTTTATTTAAATAATACAACGAAGTGATGATTGGGTTATTGCTTTGTGAGAGGTTGAGTGTTATTATGGTTGTTGTGTTCTTTGTCTCAGATGTCGATGAAGGTCCAGAGGACGAGGTTTTCTCTTGGTTGAAGTGTGCCAAAGGTCAACCTCACGAGCCACAGAGCCTTATGCCTACGCAGATTATACCTGGGACAGGTAACATGTACATTATGATTACATCATCAATATATCAATCCGCACCTCACCGGCATCAAGTCATTAGATATGATCTTGTATTGGTACAGTGAGAGTTGTAATGATTCGTTTTATTGCCTTTCTCCTTTAGCTCTTTACAACATAGGTGACATGGTGCACTCAGCGAGAGGCAAGTGGGGTATTAAGGCCAATTGTCCCTGTACCAGTCGACACACTAAGCCTCTAGTACGCCCTAGTGCCCCCAATGGGATTTCACAGGTACTGTCATGTTTTTTTTTAGTTCTGCATTGTGAAAAGTGTTAAACTTGAAGGCTCTGATGTCTGGTTGTGCTCGTCTCAGCAGTCTACAACAGGTAGTAGTGGGATCCTCGCAGGTGCAGCTCCTGGTATCGCCACCACCCCAAAACCAGAGGGAGAAACTTCAGCCATCAAAACAGAAACTACGCAAACAGCAGCGCCATCAGACAGCGGGGGAGGAGAAAGTGTGGGCGGTGTCAGTAACTCAACCAGTGGTACGTCCTCCCCCTGTAACCTCACCCAGTCCTCCGCCAAGGAGTCCCGCTCATCAGGAGAGGGCAACAGCTCGGCTCTGCACTGGCTGGCAGACTTGGCCACACAGAAAGCCAAGGATGACACCAAGGGTAAGTAGGAAAGAGGAAATGCTGAGTCAGTGTAATCTGAGTGCATGAAAAAAAAAAAGTCAAAATCAATATTCAAGTTGAAGTTACATCCCCGTCCTCTCGCCATCTCCTTCCAGAATCCGGTTCACTTCGCTCCATGATGAGTCGAGACAGCCGGCCTGCCTTTGGCCTGGACTCACTCAGTGCCCTGTCAAAGCCTTCTGCTTCCAGTCCTAAGCTATTCAACAGTCTGTTACTGGGCTCCAGCATGGCCCAATCCAAACCCGAGGGGTCCAGTCTCCGGGATCTGCTCAACTCTGGACCGGGCAAACTCCCCCAGGGGCCCGGAGAGAGCGGGGTGCCATTCCCCTCTGTCTTTACCTCGGCAGGGGTACGTAGAAAGCTCATGTTTTTTTATGACATTAGTTTTATTTGTGTCAGTTACTGGTGTAGTAATGAAGCAGAGCATTCACATTGACAATGGTTGAAACCACTAAACAACTCTAATTTTCAAAAAATGACGAGGCTTTACATAAAGTACAAAAACATAGCTGGGTAATAAACCATTTATATTGTCTTTCAGAGTGACAAGCTGAAGAGCAGCCTCCCCAACTTCCTGGATCACATCATCGCCTCAGTTGTGGAGACCAAGAAGGCAGAAGGCCGTCGGACCGGGGTGTCCGAGGGAGGCGAGCTGGGTGTTCTGGGCGGCCGCAAAGACGGAGTAATGGGCCTCAGTGTTTTGGAACCACATACCTCACACTCCTGGCTCTGTGACGGACGACTCCTCTGCCTACAGGATCCCAGCAACAGCAACAACTGGAAGATCTTCAGAGAGTGCTGGAAGCAGGGACAAGTAAGAACAGAGGCATCTGTGGCAGCCACATAATGGAGCTGAACAAGAAAGATTGAGCCTGAACTGTCATCTGTCTAATCTCTTCTCTTTTGTGTCCAGCCCGTGTTGGTGTCGGGGATACACAAACGCCTGAAAAGTGATTTGTGGCGGCCCGATGCCTTCAGTAGGGAGTTTGGAGACCAGGATGTAGACCTGGTCAACTGTAGAAACTGTGCTATCATCTCTGATGTGAAGGTGCGAGACTTCTGGGACGGCTTCGAGATCATCTCTAGTAAGTGCACAAATTCCTCTTGTTCGTTGTTGGATTGAATAATTGATGCGCGTGGCACTGTGTTATTTTAGCTCGAGTTTCTTTTAAGACATTTCAGCTGATGTGTTTTTCTGTGAGTGCAGAGCGACTGCAGGACAGTGAAGGCCAGCCCATGGTGTTGAAACTAAAGGATTGGCCTCCAGGTGAAGACTTCAGGGACATGATGCCCACACGGTGAGGGACCCAGAAATATGTTGCCTATGTTGCACTTCCATGAGCTTGTTAAAATGTGAACTAACCTCCATCATCTGTCCATGTTTCTTTAAGGAATGTCTGAAATTTAGATTAAAATGTTTTAACCAGTTAAGAAAGATTGCTTTTACTTTATTTTTGTGAAATAATTAATTATTTTTACAAAACACATTTGTGGATCTTATTTGTGTTGTTTTAATATTCTTTCATACTTTTTCCAGGTTTGATGATCTGATGGATAACCTCCCTTTGCCCGAGTACACAAAAAGAGACGGTCGTTTAAACCTCGCTGCCCGTCTGCCCAACTTCTTCGTGCGTCCTGACCTTGGACCCAAGATGTACAACGCCTATGGTGAGAAGATCGTCTCGGTCCCTCTCAACTCCGTTAGATCTCTCGTGTCTTTCTCCCCCTTCCTCTATTATTTATATATTTATATATATATATATATATATATATATATACTGTATCCTCTTCATCGTCTCTCTCTCACTCCCTCAATGCCTTTCTTTCCCTCAGGCTTAACCTCGTCTGAAGACAGGAAAGTGGGAACCACTAATCTCCATCTGGATGTCTCTGATGCCGTCAACGTCATGGTCTATGTTGGTATCCCTCAAATAGAGGGAGACCCAGGGCAAGGTCAGTGGAGTTAAGCACTTTGTCCCCCTCTCTGTCTTCTTCTCTTTTATTTCTCCATACCAAATCCAAGACACTGAAAAGACCCTTCACTGGGTCTCTCTCATTTACATTATGGTAACATTTCTCTTTCTCAGAGGCAGATATCAATGGACGCAAAGGTCTGTAGACTTTCACTTGTATCACTTCAGTAGCATGCCCTTCTTTTTGACTAACTCCCCTTCTTCACTGCTCCACCCCATCCTCCTGTTATTATCTGTGCTGTAGGGGCCAGAGCACTGGGACCCATCTGTTGGTTTCTACTGTGGCATGTTCTGTACATTTCTATGTAAAAGCTTTATTAACAACTTCAATGAATAACGGACGGCAATTACCTTTCTGTTGTTGCTCTTTGGAGATCCTGAGTTTCCTCTTCTTTGTAGATTTCATGGTTGGGTGAAACATTGTGTGCTTCTGTGGTCCAGCTAATAAAGCACCAGAAAATCCACAAATTGTCATTAAGTTCGCACACAATTTCATGTAATTTATTGAATTATCTTTGCTTTTGATGAGCTGTGCTCTGGTCCTTACATGGTGGGAGAAAAGTTTCAATGAAGGACATCTAGAGTTAGCATCCCTCTTCCCTTCACACTGTGACACTAGCAACCACACAAAAGTATGACTGTGTCTGTGAAAGAGTCATTTGTGACTGACCAGACCATAATAAATGCAACACACACACACGCACACATTGTTAACTGAAGCAAACACAGTTATCATCTTTCTGAATAACTCATAAATACGCACTGTAAATGAGGGGTCAGTGTATTTCAGGCAGTAGAGTGAGCTGCTCCGTACGATTAACCTGACGCTGTGGATGTGAACATGATGTCAGTAAATGTCTGCCCTTTTCTTTGCCCCAGTGGTTCTCAACTGGTCCAGCCACATGATCCACATTTGTCTTAAGTCACAAAGCAGACACCATTGGAAATGTGAACCATTTGAATCAGCTTCTTAAAATTACTAATTTACAGTTCTTCGTGCACTGGAAACATTAGTCCTGTTGGCATTTTATGTTTTGCCAAATGCTGTGTTAACTGCTTGTGATGTTTGTGTCACGTCAGCCACACGATGCAGCTGTAAACAGTATTTTAAGAGAACAATCTTGCAGGTCACTTATAATGGACCTGCAACCTAATACTGAGTCATGAGCCACCAGTTGTGAACTACAGCTCTTTGCCATTTTATCAAACAGTATGACAGATGTACATAAATTCAGCTGTTTAAGAATTACGCTGTGAAGAATGAGAAATGCAGATTAGCTTGATGGTACCAGTCACTGAGGCATGATACGTGTAGTCATCAGACTGGAATGAATTCAACAGAGTAGTCTTCAACTCTCTTGAAACATCAGCAATCACAGCTCCAAACCTAATGAACAAAAACAATTGTCGTCATAAAAACATGGCTGACGATCCTCTGGTGCCCTGTATGTATGTATGTGTGTGTGTGTGTGTGTGTGTGCGTGTCTATGTTTGGTCCTTTAGAGGTCATGACCACTATTGAGGAGGGCGATGTGGATGAAATGACGAAGAGGCGGGTGTACGAGGCGAAGGAGAAACCTGGAGCTCTCTGGCACATCTACGCTGCCAAGGACGCTGAGAAGATCAGAGAACTTCTCCGCAAGGTCAGCAGCCGGAAGATTTCTGTCTCGTTTCTGCCCAACCTGCTTTATTTTAAGACTACATTCAGTCTATAAATCTGTTTATCTGAATCCTGATATGTTTTCCCTCCACTACATCCTCGTTTATGATTCCAAGATGTCATCAACTGGTTAGCAGCAACAACAACCGAAGCTAAACGTGTGGTTGTGATTAATCGTGGATTATCTGTGTAGGTGGGAGAGGAGCAGGGTCAAGAGAACCCTCCAGACCACGACCCCATCCACGACCAGAGCTGGTACCTGGACCAGGTGCTCCGCCGCAGGCTCTATGAAGAATATGGCGTGCAGGGATGGGCCATTGTACAGTTCTTAGGAGATGCTGTGTTTATCCCCGCTGGAGCTCCACACCAGGTCAGACATGTTTGTGTTACATTTAGGAAGCTTGCTATTGATATCCTTTTATTTAGAGGATTCAAGACGCATTATTATCTTGTTTCATTAACGTATTTGTTAATTGTCTGCTCTTCCCCTTCAGGTTCACAACCTGTACAGCTGCATCAAGGTGGCAGAGGACTTTGTGTCTCCTGAGCATGTAAAGCACTGTTTCAGACTGACCCAGGAGTTCAGACACCTGTCCACGACTCACACAAACCACGAAGACAAGCTACAGGTCCGTGTGCTTTTCTCTCATGTCGTTTTTTCACTGTCCAACTTTAATGCATTCAACCAGGTAGAGAATGATGTGTGCCTCTGATTCTGTAATGTTTATAATCTGCTGCTTTGATTGACAAGAGAAGTGATTAATTCAGACTCGGGTTATGAGTTGTTTAGAGTGATTTAATTAAAAAGTATGAATTGACAGAAATTAATATAAAGCTGATATTTGTCTAATACTGATGCATGGTTGTGGCAAAATGAAAAAAAGCCCTCGTCACTGTGAGGCATTGTTGTTTCCCTGCCATTGTTTTAACAGACTTTTCCCATCCTTTTTTCCCTCAGGTGAAGAACATCATCTATCATGCAGTGAAGGACGCTGTTGGGACACTGAAGGCCCATGAACCTAAACTAGCACGCCCGTAGTTCCTCACTTACTGTAATCCCAAAATAACCAGCCTCCTACAACCACTCCACGACGTACACACACACAATATACATTAAATACCTACACACACACAAGTACAGGCTGCAGAGTACAAAGATAGTGTAAGTTATTTTGGGGCAGTGAAGGTCTGGGTTTGGGGAAAGAGAACATTTGATTTGGGGAGGGATTAGACGGGGGAGGGGCTAATCAGCGCTTGGATGAAGGAAGTCCTTTATCGCTGTTACACAGTACGCTCAGACTTGTCTAGTTGTTTTCCAATTATTATTTTTTTTGGATTAACTGTATTTAAGATCAGTGTGTTTGTTCTGTTGTTTTCATTGTAAATGTAAGATGTGAGAGTTCAGGATGTAAATGCTGACTTGCCTCTGGAGCAGAGGTTCAGCTTCCATGTAAGTGACTGACAAAATGCAAGTTCTGGGCTAACTTTCCTATTTTCATGACGTTGATATTATTTTTCTTAAATAGGTGCGAGGTTAACCTGTGTTTGTAGACATTTTTTGTTGTTGGAGTTTTTAAACAGCTGATTGCTTCTGCCCTCTGAGGCTGTAATGAATTTGTGAAGCAGCCAGTGAGGGGAAGCAGACCAAAGTTTTGTATTTTTTGTTTTTTTTATTTCACTTTTAGAGTAAGAAGTCTTTTCTTTTTATACACCACAAGGCAATGATCAGGAGGACTTCAGAGAGGGCAGGTTTCATTTTATTATTTTTGGTCACCTATCTTTGTCTCATGGGCTGAGTGAACTGCAGACTTCCAACAACATTGTTCAAGAATCACAATTGCAGCTGAATAGAACTACTGGCCATTAACATTGTATCAATATATATATATATATTGATCTTAGCAGTCTGTTTGATTTTTCACATTAAAGTTTACAAAAACTACTGTTTGTCAACGGTTTGTTTATTACCCACAACACCTCAGCAAGGGTCTCTATAAAACATGAAAATATGTATTAAAATGTCTCAATCAGGGCTGAAACTAAGTTATTTTTGTCATCAATTCATCTTTTTGATGAAGTCCAAAAAATAAAACGTTTACAATAAAACAGAAAAGCAGCAAAAAAACCATCTGCAAGCAAATGTTTAGAATGTCTAAAACAATCAAATATTTAAATAGGTGGCAGTTTATCGATGTATCGATTAATAAAGTAATTGTTTCAGTAGGAGTCTGAATGTCTGTCTTATCTAAATGTAAGGTCCTGTGTGTACATTGAGGCAAAACAGTGGAATTAAACTTCCAGGTCCGTCATGTGATGCCATGGGAACCAAAAAGATGTTTCATGGGAACGAACCGATCGCTGCCTCCAACGCTGTGTCCACTTCTCTTTAGATGCACATGTTTGGCATACGGGATAAGTTTCAGTTAATTGCAATCTGCAACTTCACCGCTAGATGCTGCCCAATCCTACACACTTAACATTTAATACACTAGATTTTTACTGATGCTACATGCTCTGATATCTGTCCTGTGTGGCCTACCTTTCACTGCTTATGCCTGAATTACTAATTAGATCACAGAAAATGGGGCAGGGAGACTCGAGTGTGCTGTACATAAGCAAGAAGGATGAAAGCATGAAACCAACAAAGACCTATAAGTTTATATTACAAACAGGATATTGCTATGTTTCCTGTTCTTTAATGATAGTCACTGTTGTGAAGCACCTGGCGTCTTCTATAAATTACCACTTATTAACTGAGCTCATTGGAACGTGTGTCACTCTTAGTGCATTTGATATGCACCATTTTTCGGCCTGGCCCTTTAAGAGCCCGTCTCTTCGGCAGCGAGACAGAGCAGCTTGGAGAGACTGCAGCACATCCTCAGCTGCTGCTAGCCCACCTGACAGCACCGCGGAGCGGATAGGCAGCACCGTGCCAGCCAGCCTCCCGGTTCACATCGCAATACACACCGCGTTCTTGGAGGGGAATGGGGGGGGCACCTAGCCCGCTACAGCTGACTGCCTAGATCTCTATAGAAGCGGGTGAAAGCTCACAACCAGGCGGTCCAGGAAGATGGTCTCCTGGATGATCTCGCGGATAGTCGTGTGAGTAACATCTGTTGTTGTGTTGTAACGTTAGCCTCACGCGCTCCATTCATCAGCTGTCTGATGCTGAACGAGAACTAGCTAGCATCCATTTTCTGTCCGTTACTTAGTGACATTTTCAGACATGTAGAAACATAATGTGGGTGAACTCTTAATCGGTTACCACGTTAAGCAATTGTGTATACAAACAGTGGCAACCGTTGCTCTGGGTTTCTCCTTGGAAGAACACAATGATGCAGTACAATCTGCATCCAGCGCGCGCTAGCCGCCGTTAGTAGCTAACGTCTGTTGGCTTACCACCTGACAGATGACGTGTTGGCAGAGAAAAGGGCCTTTAGCTGCCCACGTTATTCAAGTGAAACCTGCTTAATATGCCGGCCGGCCTGGCTGCAGACAAAGTAAACCCTTTTAAAAACACCACAGCCTGAATGCTGCTGGTCTGTAGACGCAACACCACAGCACCATATGGCAACATGAGTTGGTCAAATGTGATGACAAGGCTAAAAGCCCAACAGCCCTGATAAATGAGGATATTTTCAATATTATAACATGACTTCACACATTTCTTTGTATGTGATCAATATCAGCAGTTCAGGTCTGGACTTCCACCTGTGTGTACACATTACATCAGGACAGAGTGGATGACTCAACTAAAGCCAGCAGCAGCCATCATCTTCCCATATGCAGACATCTGTACAGTGCTGCATTAATGTTTCTGAGTTTCAATCAGGATATTGTGTCTTCTAAACACTGGATGTACCCGTCCGTCATTGTCTTGTGGATTTAACCAGGCTATACTTAACTATGATGGTGTCTTTGAAAGGCCCAGGTGTAGATCTCTTTAAATATTCTGCCTGTCTGGATTACATAAATAGAGGATAACATTGGCAAGCAGTTACCTTTTAGTGACTTCTAGCTGGCTCCCCTTCAGAGCTCCTCCGCTGGTCATGCGTTTGACAAACAACGTGACTGGATATGCACCGTAATGGCTGCGGCATATCTGCCACAAGATCAATAGTTTGTAATCTCTGCTCTATGCATTCAACATGCGGCGGCCTCTTTGTCTTTTTGGAGGTGAATAAGTGGTGTAAATTACTATATGCTCAATATCTCTGGTCTTGGGGTCACAGAGAGGATGTGATGCCCACAAAGTCTGTGTTTTTGAACCTGAGATCGGGACACAAAGAGGCACAGGGCGTCTGCTGAAGGGAGACGACTGGCCTAGATGCGCTGCTACGAGTCGCTTCAGCTTATGGTACAAAGCTGCACACATGACTGAGCAGCTCAGACACCAACTGGGACCAGGGAGCTACTTAAAACTAGATATGCAGCTGGGAGTCTGTGTGAAAACCATTCAATCCTTTTAGTTTAGGTCAAATATTATAATTCGCAGTTTACACTGAAAGCGGCACACAGACAAACTAGTGACTTCCTGAACTCTATTCTCCCTGCTATCCCCTCACTCAGCATTTCTCATCCTGTCACATCAGCACAAATCACCACAGTGGCACAGCGACGCGACCAAATGCACATCAAGAACCCCGCTGTGTGTCCCATCCTTCCCATGCACTAACACATGGTGACTCACCCCTGGTCCACTTGTGTATGTTGTTTCCGTTTTGTCTAGCTGCAGATTTTCCTGACTCCATGATCTCTATTCCATTTCTTTTGAACCCATAATGAGACCGGTGTGTTTTGACAAGCCACTGCCCATCAACTCTACTCTACTGTGGCAACACCAATCAGGTTAAAACCACCAAGAGACTGACTTTGCTGAAGTAGCCCAATAAGACAGAGAGCTGCTTGTGTTTACATGGCTGACCTGCTTTTTAAGCAGCGATACATTAGTTAGGTGTTCGAGTGAATACCCAGAGGCCATGTACTCAAGCTGAACCCCCCCCCCCCCCCCCGACCCGTGCTTCAATGCTCCTCTGCTTTCCGCAGCCTTTCCTTCGGGACGCTCTACCCAGCATACTCCTCATACAAGGCTGTCAAAACGAAGAACGTGAAGGAATATGTGAGTATCACCCCTTGCTATTTTTACATGCACAGAAGATGAGAAGGAATGTAACACAGATGTAAGGTCGGCCAGGCACACGCTTGACATAGTTTGATAACAGGACTTATATTAATCACTTGGAGTCATTTTTGTTTTGATGTTGGCCACACTGACTGTCTCGTCTCTCAAAGACTGATTACCAAAATATTAAAAAATGTTTGATAATGATCACAGACTCGGAGACGAGCATGGCGTGGTAGCTAACTGGGGCACACCAACCTTCATGAAACTGGGTCAGTGAGGTGCCATGATGACAAAGTAATACCTCCATGTCTCTGCTAATTCTTCTTTTACATCCAAATATTCATGTCCATTCAGAATAAAAGACAAATTGGCAACATGACAGTTGTGTGCAGGTTGTCATTCATCTGTTTGAGCTGATCATTTTCATCCAACACCTGCAAAGAATATATGAATGTGCACTTATTGATTACATAACTGCGTGCCATGCAGCAGAATGTGAATACCTGACTTCATCATCTAGTGTAGTTGTTCCCAACCTGGGGGTTGCACAATACATCTGATGGGACACAAGATTACTAGATAGGAAAGTCAGTGTTGAAGAATTATGCGTTCAGGAGGAAACGAGCCCATAAGGTTTGGAACAACAGATCTGTCAGATGTTTTACACCCATAGCATGCTAAGTGCATGAAACTACCCAATCCCTTGATACTAAAACTATTCATCGTTTAAATTCGTATTTGTCATGACGTCCTATAGCGTCTGAGCTCACTGTTATTTAAAAACTCAACAGAGTCCTTCGAGCATTAAAACTAAGCTGTTAGAAAAGTTTGGGATTTGGCGGCATTATAATTAACACAGAAAAATACGTGACGCTCTGCTGTCGGCAGCAAAAACTTGTTTTAGCACCTAAAAGAAAGACACTCCTTAAAAAAACATCAGTTTAAGTGTACGCTATATCTAGAGTATGTTCAGCGCTGTACCTTGCCATATATTGTGTGACTTTGCTGAAACCTTTTTTTTTTTTTTTTAAACGACAAATAGCAGCATCCTAGCCTTCTGTCTAGATTTGCATGGGAGAGAAGCAGGTTACCACGGCACCCCCCCCCCCCCCAAAGTGCTACTCAAGCACACAGCCACAGAAGGAGCAAATGAGGGATGGAGGACGAGTGGGAGTGGAGGAAGCCATTTTTAGAAGTGATGTTTTCATTCCCCTCTCCTCTTGTTTGGCTCCTTTATTTTTTGTACGAGTCAAATGACTCATCATTATGTGTTCATATGGCTTCATGCCCGTGACCATGCAGTGCTTTTCTCTAAATGTTTCACATTTGATATACCACTATGTGTACACCACTATCGAAGGCGTTTGGTCTCTTCATTGAGTTGTCGATGACGCCCTACATTTCCTTTGTCTCTGGGACGTTTATCCTGCATACTGATGTGATCTGACGGACTAAAACACATGTTGCATTGCCATGTCTGTTTAGCTCCACTTGTCTCAGCACGTGTACACTGGATGCTGGGGGGTTTCATGTGATGTTATTTCTCTCCTCACGTACGTGTGTGTGTGTGTGCGCAGGTGAAATGGATGATGTACTGGATAGTGTTTGCGTTGTTCACTACAGCAGAGACCGCCACAGACCTGCTCCTATCATGGTGAGTGAGGAGCTGCTCATGCTGGCGACCCTCATGCCTAACTAGCTTATAATAAGTAAGCTTATATAATATCAATACACACATTCATGTGTGTATTTTGTGCTAGTTCTCTTGATATTTTTAGTCAAGTGACTTATTGAAGTATCTTTCACAGCTATTCAGCCTTTCTATCCATCAGATCAGGGTCTTACCTTCTCTTTGTTGAGTCTTTCTCTGTAGGATTCAGGTGTCTGACTCTTTTCTTCTCTGCTGATGGTATAACTCTGTTTCATTACGCAGGTTTCCATTTTACTTTGAGCTAAAGATTGCCTTTGTGATCTGGCTCCTGTCCCCATACACCAAGGGCTCCAGTGTCCTCTACCGCAAGTTTGTCCACCCAACGCTGTCCAACAAAGAGAAGGTAGGAACATGTCATCCACACTGAAATATTCAGATTTTCCTTTTTTTTTCTCTCTTTTTACCAATTGCTTACATGGTTGTCTCTCCCCCTTCAACTGCCATCATGTGCTCTAGGAGATAGATGAGTACATAGCGCAGGCCAAAGACAGGAGCTATGAGACCATGATGAAGTTCGGGAAGAGGGGTCTCAACCTGGCTGCTACTGCTGCTGTCACCGCAGCCTCCAAGGTGAGCTGTATGCGTCATGATCTATAAACTTTTATAAAATTAATTGATACATTTTTTTAAATAGAGCTTCAAAGCTTTGAGTTGTTTGGTATAGCACATTGACCTCTGTCCTCTGGGAGGTTTGCTCTGCTATACACACATTTATAAGATGCCTTGTATCCGTTCCACAGTGCAGACTAGAGATCACATCCCAATGCATTCTCAATATGTTTGGGGTGAGTGCACAGCTGTATTTACATATGTCTACGTGACATAAATTGGATTCCCCAAGGTCTATTAGGCTTGGTTTCTGATGTGCCTTGCCAGTTTCATACATGGAATTATGACGAGACCAAATGATATCTTCTGCCAAGCATGCTGGTCTCCAAATAATAGAAATATTAAAGCCATTGTTCACACTTGCACTGTCCCATTTACACAATACTATTTGATGCTGTGCTCAATATTATCATCGTCAAGTCTTCCCCATTTCTGTTTATATTCCAGTGCAGATCATACTAACTGCTCCGTTAAATTACATTCAAGCAGACATTTATTGTTCATGCACAAAATTGAAATCAGTAATCTGCATCAAATTATAAAAGGAACCGGGGCTTCCCAGTATATTTGCCATTACATCCTGTCCCATCAACTTAATCCATCTGTGCATCACCAAACATGAGAATTAGCTCATTCATTTAATTGTTTTGTTTTTTTAAGGAGTGCGTGATGCAGAGGTAAGGGATGGTTATTCTCATGTTCTCACCTATCTGACGTGTCTGTGTTTGGTTTCGCTGTGATGCTCAGGGGCAGGGCGTGCTCTCGGACAAGCTGCGGAGTTTCAGCATGCAGGACCTGACTCTCATCAACGCTGAGGACGAGCTGGGTCTGCACGCTGCAGACGCCCGCATGAGACGGGACCCCAAGGACGAGTTGAGCTCAGGGTCTAGCACGCTGCCCCGGGCCAAGAGCACCGCTGCACGGCAAAGTAAGGCCTCTCCACACGCACAACCCACACTGCTTTAATAGCAGCTTCACGTAGAGCGGCATGGAGTCGTACACATGTACACTGTGTGTCCAGTTTGCTGATTAGGCAGGGGTGCCACTCAGACTTCCTTTGTTTAACTTTTTATCAGAGCAGGACTGGGGCTAGTAGAGTCATGTGATTTAAGGCACTGTCGGATGGCAGGGAAGAGGAGGAGATGCGAAGGGGGTGGGGTGAAAGCATGTGATTCCAGTGGGAGGAGAAGCTTGGAAGGAGGACTCTTTGTGTCTCACTGAACTGCCGGTTTGCTGGCTGTGTGGGCCTGACGAGCTGTGAACTGAATACAGAGAGAGACACAGAGGCAGTGAAACAATGAACGAAGTGGCACGTTTTAATTTCAACCTACAAAGAAACTTCGGGCAGCTTCAAAATCCAGTCTGGAAGGAAGATCGAGCAACACACTGAAGTGAATGCGTCAAAGAGCGAGACTTCAAATACAGTTTTCAGGGTGATTTGTGCACAGATGTTCCTTGTTGATAATCTTTTGTGTACAACACAGTATACTTCGAAGAGAATCCAAACTCAAAGGTGGACTTACTATGATTCAGAGCTTTGAATCACATCTCACAGTCTTCATTCAATTAATGGAGTAGACTGATTAAATAACTATTATCTTCCTGCTAAGCCACCACAGTATTAACAAGCAAGACAAATATTTTCTCATTTTCCAGTTGTTAAAAGAACAGAACCAACTTATTCTGCAAAACTGTTAATGCTAATACTCCTTTACATGATTTAAACATGTTGAAGTGTCCTGTCTACATACATTTACAAAACACAATGAATACACTGGTTTTTAATTAGAACCGCTATATTAATGCTCTTAACTGTACTGAACAACAAAATAATGGACATAGACCCATGTTGTCCTCATTTCTTTCTCTTCAAAATGTTCTTGAATCAGATTATGTAGTGCCAGTGGGTGTTGCCCTTCTCTTTCAGACTGTGCACTAGTGCTGAAACAAATAGTTAATTGATCTGTTGATCAACTGGAAAAAGTCGTAATGTATTGGTTTCAGAATTATCGTGATTGCTATTTTGTGGAAATCTGTAGACCAAAATATGAGTTGGAGGAAAAAAACCAATCATCAAATTAATTGACAACAAAAAAATAGGCAGTTGCAGCCGTACCATGCACTGCTCTTAAAGGCCTTGCCTAGTTGTGCCTCGCTATCGAGCTCTAATTCAGTACATGTCAACCTACAAATGATTTTTCCCTCGCAAAATTGTTCAATTTAATTATTTTCAAGAAGCCTTAAGGGAAAAAACTTTCAATATTGCACAAGAAAATGATGATTAAAAAAGTCAGAATGAATTTTTTTCTGATGCTGTTAATCATCCTATGACTCCTCAGCGGTTAAAGTTTGTATCAGGGACTTTAAACCTGAGTGAAATGCTCCAGCACCAGAGTCTGCTTGTCTGTTGCTGTAAGCAGTCTGTAAAATGGAAGCACCTATGATGATTAAACCAGGACATTTCACATTCTGTTATGGTGGCTGGGCAGAAGATACTCCTTTACCGACAGTTAACTTTAAAAACGGGTGGAAACAACCTGTATTTTGAAAGGTGGCCACTAGGTGGTGTGAGAGGCTGTGACTGCCTTGATGTTGGTCTGCAAATACATGTTATAAATTACAAATAACAGTTGCTTCAGGAGTTTCATCCTCGGTGCGTTTTAATGTTGTTCATAGGATTAAATCTGCTGAGTTAAGTTTGGCTGCTACTGCCTCAATCGCTCTGCTTTCTCAGCCGTCAGGTGAATCATACATTTTTGTCCAATCCTGCAGCCCGCTCTTCGGCGGCGGCGGCGGCCACGTCCCTTGTTGACGACGCGTTATCCCAACACGGCTCTGACCAATCAGACACAAGGACTGAACACTCTGATGAAGATGCAGGAGACAAAGCCCCCAAACGTAGTACCACCGTCAAGGCCACCAAGAAACCTGCTGCTGCGAAGACCGAGGTAGGGCCAACGAACACACACACTGCTAGACTACAAACTGTAAGATCACTCTATACACTCTTTATAGACTTTAAAAGGTTTATAGTTTGTGATCAATACATTTATTTATTATGCGCATCAGGAACGTGACATCATGTCCATTTTGGGGACAGAGTGTGGGGACATTTTGTTGAGAGGTAATATGACCTCACCTTAAGTCAATCTAACTGGGATGACATCATCAGGGTTATTTTCAGATCTGTCATAACTGTATGATACAACTCTCCATGTAAGGCCTTCATGTGTGTTATGATAAAAGTCGATGTATCGCCCAACTTGAGTCAAACCTTTTGGACCTCTTCTCCATATTTAATAATTCACTGTTGTCTCTCTACTTTCCTTCTGTTGTTTTAATGAACTGTATCAATCCGTCTTTAATGTCTCCTCCTTCCTGTCCCTGTCCTCCCTCTTCAAGACACAAACAAAGACGGTGAAGAAGCCGACCAAGAAAAAGGCCACGACTATTAACGCAGAGACGCCAATATGAGGCCTGCTGTCCACATCCACCGGCCTACACTCTCCCCACACACATCCTGCAGGCCCTTCCTCCTCTGTATGGTTTCCTCACAAATGCGGACACACTGTGTCTAAGCACTGAAATTGTGTCACTCTTGCTGTTTTTTTTTATTATTATTTTTTTTTTTATTTTAGAGCAAAGTGCAGGTTTTAGTTTTTAGCAGTATTTGGGCAACCTTACGTTGGGTTGCTTCTTTAACAGTTACTGGGTTGATGCATATTTTCCCTCTTTACTTACTGTAGGTTCATCCTAGATCCAGCAGTCGGGGAGGCTCATTTGTCCTTTAACCCCTAGACCTATAGGTAGGAGACATCGTAAGCTGGCCATGTTGCAGGTTTCCAGTCTCATTGATTCACATCCTGTTGCTGACATTGGAACAGTCTCAATTTAGGCTGTTGTTGGTTCAATTATCTCCAGTAAAATATTAAATTTCCCACTCTTAGTTCTAGATTCAAGCCCTTAGTGTCCTCCGGCCTACTCCTGCATGATTCCAATCAACAAATGTCGTCCTCTCGCTGTGTGCAAGCTACAAGTCTGGGTTTTCATCCGGACCCGATGGTAGCAATCCTCAGAAGTCTTCTCCAGAGCACGGACAACATCACCAAAACAGTTGTCTTTTATTGTGCCTGAAGGTTGAAAGTTTCAAGCATTGTCCAATAGTTGTAGACATCCTCATTACTCTTTCCGACATAATTCCCACTTTTGACTTCAGCTCATAATATCACCACCATGTCCTAGCTCATGCACCTGTGTAGTTTAACAGGATGACTTGAGATCAAACCTGTTATTGAGTCTGGCTCTGCTAAGTTCAGGTCTCATTTACAGTCATTTTCTTCCCGACTAATTTAATTTGACTTTCACATCATTTTACATTACTGTTGATGGGAATGGTTTGTTTAGTGTTGGCTGAGTTATCCTTCATCTAGACTTCACTCTCTTATTTATTACGCTTCTGTTTTATCAAGGTCTTTTGGTCATGTGATTAGTAATAAGTATGATTGTGCATAGCCGGGTAATTCTGTAACTCCCAATAAATACAGTAGTCATAGAAGAGTTGCCGGTGTTTTTGAGGTAACAGATCTGCCTTCACCATGGTAGTGACGTCTGTATATTGTTTGTGTTCAACATTAGAAGGTCAAGGAGACGCTTTGCACATTCTCACTCCTGTGGTAACAGTCTGCCTCTTTGCCATATTTAAAAATCTCAGAAGTCAGGAGATAGCAAAGCAATATGGAACTAATTAAACCAAAACCAACATCAGGAGACGGAGGGATTATTTTCTGACCCCTGTGCTGTTATTCCAGATGTGGAGGAAGTGTCAGACGAGGCTCGGGGTGTTTCTAAAGACACGGGACTTTTGTTTTGGTAATGGCTCTTTTGGTTGCCATCCACTGCATTGGGTGTAGTTTCTGCTGGGTCCTTTTAATGAGCAATTCAAAAGCATGATACTACTTCTGCACTCATTACTGTTGTCTGTAGTGTGATGCTAGTCTGAACCAGTAGAGGGAGACAAACTCCACCTCAACTCCTGGCAGAGTTGCTAAACAAAATGTAAACGGTAACAGTGACTGTATATACAATATGAGCTTGCTTGCCTTATTCATTCTCTGGGCTTGAATCCATTGACTTATTAATCATTTGTGTGCTTTAAAAAAAAAAAAAAAAAGCTCAGACGACAAATGATTTTTGTATTTTTAACATGTTTTATTTTCTGCCTTTTCTCATTAATTTTAACTCGCCTCAATCACAAAGTAAGGAACCTCTAGACTGAGTTTAAACTGATGTTTGTGTATTCAAATCTTGCTATATGCTCTACTCAGACAGGATACCAAGTATTTTTGGGCCAAAAGCTAAAAATGGCCTCTTTTTGTTTTCATCTTAAGTTAACATTTGCTTCGAATAAAAAGAAGACCGTATGTAAAGGAAAAGTATATATTTTTTTTTCTTTCATCGAGATACAGGCCTGCATTTTATTCTTGTGTTCATGCCAATTTTTCATATTTATTGTTTATTTTTTTTCTCTGTTTTGAAATCAGTATTGTTTACAGGATTGTTCATTTGTATATTGTTTGTGCCAATTCTCAAAGCTCCTTGTCAAAAAGCATTACAGTGTGTGTGCTGGGACAATGGTATCCAACAAGGTCATGTGTCTTTCAAAACTACTAATAAAGGAAATTCAATCACAGTGTTACTGCTTGTTGGAATTTAAGGACATCCTCTCTTGATTGTTAAGTGATTTAAAAAAAAAATATATATATATGTGTGTATATATAAAACATTTGTGTGTGTGTGTGTGTACATATATACACACGCATGTGTGTCTGCGCGCAGTCATAGTATTGTATGTCAAAGAAGGTAAAAGAAGTCGGTCTATAGCATGTCAAACAGTCATAGTATAGTAGGTCGAAAAAAATCATGTTTTGTATGTCAAAAAAAAAAA